ACACAATCAAAAGGAGATTAGACGACAAACACTTTGATTTAAGTAATTCTTGATGAGGAAAKGGGCAAGTTTTAACAGTATTAATCACAAGAAAGCCATCCTATACATAGTTGCATTATTAGCTTAATAAATTAATTTTTAGTTTATAACTAGTGCATACTGCCTTAGTCTTAAATAGTTAAATTTGGTTAATAATTAAATAATTTTGGCATAAGTATTTGAATGTATATCCTGCTTACCTACCACAAATGACGCACCTATAATATCAGAAGCTGTTCGGAGATTTTCAATTTAATTGATGAGGTAGTACAAATAAATAAATATGAGGATATTATATGGAACAATTAAAGGAGGGAATTCCCTGTGTTGAGTGTGACCACAGGCCAACCATGGCTATTTTAACTGTATGAGCTTTACCATCAGCGTTGAGTTAGCACTTTAGCAGTTAAAATTATACCTCGAAAAATCAAAAGCGCTCTGTGCCTCTGTTCATATAATTCTTATGTTTTACACTAAAATTCTTCTATTATTTAGAAAATACCTCCATCAAGTTACGAATACTTCAAAATATAATTTTTATTTTATTATTGTTCATAGACAATAGTATATATTATTATTAAAAAGTGTGTGTAAATATTATTACATAATATATTATGGCTTTAGGGCTTTAGCTACCAATAATGACATTTTAAACAAAAATTTCGTTTTTTGAACGAAAAGGTAATAAAAATATTATTTGCCTGAAAAAACTTGCTCAATATGTCCYTTAGAAATGCAATAAATGTGTCAGTTATGTTAAATTATCTTTCGACATGTTTTAATAAGATAACAGTCACTATAGTGTAGACACACAAGTTGAATAAATAGATAAAAAGTAATAAATACTACCTACTAATGATACAAGATCAATTTGATAGACAGATTTATGAGTTATGATAAATAACTCATAAAGTATAGGATAATAATACATGCAGAGGTATTGCTATCTTATTTGTTTTGAATTAATAAATTACTATAAATATATATATATATATAAATATATAATAAATAAAATAAATATATAATATATAAATTGCCTTGTCAAGGTACAGCACATACTTTATGGAGTTATAACTGCCATGCAAGACGTAGGTCTTATAATTTGTAATATTTGTATTTTAAGGTACAACGCATACAACAAGATATCCATTATTTTGAACATGTACCTTATAACTTATGTGTAAAAAATATAAAATCCTCAATCTATGTTACACTGTTTATCAAAACATTACCTAATCATGCAGGGTTGCATAGCAAATCACTCAACTTTTAATAAATAAATAGTGAACTAATGTTTCCTAACCCTAATTTAGTGGTCCATGATTGGTTTATTATATTTTAGCGAACCAATCAATTGTTTTAATGGTTATGCAATATCATGACATTAGTATAGTTATTACTAGTAATAAGTGTAAAATATTAACTAGTACATTTTAATGTAATAATTTACTAATTAAAATAAATATATAACATTAAAATATAAAAATATTAGACGCAAATTATCTATTTTCTACCTTACTATACATAGCAAAATTATTTAATAATACTGGTATAATCTATAAAAATTAATTAAAAATTATAAAAGATACTCATTTAAAATAACTTCGCACATTTTAATATATTATTTAATAGCTAATATATATTAATTAGTATTTACCTTTAATAATCATATTAAAACTATAGAAATCATTAAACAAAAATATTATGATGGGATAATGAGTACCTATACACAATACCCTATTTATACAACAAATAAACAGATGAAAAAAACTGGTATTTATGTACAGAAAAATTATAGTTATCATATATATATATATATGTATATATAGGGCAACTAAGATTAACAAAAATGATTTATTGAATAAATAAAAAATATTTTCAGATTATAGATACAGAATAATACATTATTTTTTATTATTTCAAAACATTTTTGTTATTAAGTATATACCAAGAGTTTAAAAATAAAACAACCAACATTACATTAACTAAGTTCAAATCCGGCACCAGATTGTATTGCATACAATAACTTTGTTTTTAGTGTTTCATAGTCTTTAAAAACTGGCATTTTTAAAAGGTTCATACAAGTACTAGCTGTTGGCAAACGATCAGATGAGCTTACTTTCTGGATACAAAATGGAGGATATAATTCCTGTAAACATTCTAGTTTTTAGTAAATAAATAAATAATTTTACAAACATTTTGTTTACCTTGAAACCAAGAAGAGGTGGACGTGAACAACTAGTCACAAATTTTAAAAGTTTTGTCTTCTGCTCATCAGTAAAATCATTAACAACTGTCCAGAATAGATCTATAGCTGGGTCCTCTGGTGTATATCCTCCAACATAATTGGTGTGTTTTTTCAAATCTTCAATATCGACCGGAACTTCAGCACCAGAAATTAATACTTGTACTTCATGATTACTAAACATACGCAACCAATCTAGAGAAATTACATTTGCCAAACCCTAGCAAAAAATTAAAATAAATCAATTAAAATAATATAWTGACTATAATAATTACACTTATATGATGTATATATTTCAAAAAAGTTGACTCATGATTATACTATATTTTTGGCTCAGGAATTTAATATTAAACACTATTAGATAATTAAAAAATT